TAAAAAAAAAGGATCGCCTGTTTCTCGTCCATTTACATTACCACGTTTGATTTCAGGGAAGTTTGTGGAGTATTCAGGTAGCAGCCAGCCAGTTTCTGCCTCAGATTCACTGTACTTACCCCTCTTTATTCACGGGTGATGATCGTTAGAGCCTGTTCTGCGAGGTGCATTTATGGCCAGTGAATAGAACAACTGAACAAGTCAGCGAATATACACTCATTCGCAAACTAATTTGGTTTTTTGAGGGACTCACCTGGAACCCAGCTGAATCTCTCGTTTGTGATTTTTTCAGAAGAAGGGTGAAACCGGTCGTGGGCTGTCGACGGATTTTCAGCAACCTTATGAGCAGTACATTACAAAGTCCATTGACAGAATCTAAAATTCCTTGCTGGCGAACATCACGTTTGCCAGGACGCAACACGAATCCATACCAGAGTGGGGACTTTCTTCTCGGTTCGGAACACCCCACAAACCCCACGAGAGTTTTGAAAACGGCCAAATCGTTATTGTCTGGATAACCAAGGTGCGCACACCGCAGTGACTACATGACCACGTCCTACTTTCAGACATTCAGCCAGAAGGCTAATTATGATCGATCAGCTTCGTCAGACCCCATGTCAATCAATCGAACGCAACCAGACAAAATGAGTGAGAAATAGCACCTGAAAGAGCACGTCAAAGAATGGGCCGTCACAACTGAGCCTCAATTCTGCTTGTGATGTGAACATCACGAAGTTGTAAACAACTCGAACTACTCGAGGAGGATGATGGTTTCGACAAAGCAAAATAGGACATGAGTCGTCTAGGAAAGACCGTCGATGAGTCTGACAGAAGCACAATCACCCTTCGCTGAGTTCAAGGATGTGGTAGAAGGTCTACTTACCGGGCCTTCGCAGATCCTAGTGCGGCTTCACACACTGCGCTACGATGCCAAGACTGCCAAGGTCAAAAGATCGTGCTCTTTTCGTTTGACTACCCCGAACTATCACGTTGACTCATGTCACTGAAATTAACAGTTTTGTTGCTTACGTAATGACTGTATCAAGTGGGTATCGCCAGACCAGTCGCGTTAGTCAAAAGTTTCCAAGAACACACCTGACCTCACATTGCCTAACATTCTAATAACTAGATTGACAAAGTGCACTAGTTAAGCAGTGCTGGAATTTCGAAACATTGAACTTCTAGAGTAATTAGGAGCCAGAAATCTCCATGAAATATGTCGCAACCGTGCACTCCCCCGACACATATGGGGAGGCAGAACGAACATTCCTCTCTCATCTGCGTATTTTTGGAACCCTTTCCTAGAATTTCGCCGAGAATACTCATCCAGCAAGACTTTTTCCTAATGAATGACATTAAATGGAATATTACCATCTGCGTTTTTTCACAAAGAAACTACTTACAAGGTTGCTGAAAGATCCGCAACAACCTGTGCATAGTTTATTGTGAAGGTGTACTGCGATGTCTGAACTATCGTACCTACTGAAACATGCGGCAGCCTTAGTGCAGTGCATTCGGTTGAAGAACATCACAAGCGAGAGATTCAGCTGAGATTCTCTGGAAAGGTAAATTGATTTGCAAACGAGTCTATTTGTCAACAGCAACGTATACTCCATCAGTTTGCTGCAATAAATCTGTGTCTAATTTGAGGGCGGGATGGCTCAGTGGTTAGAGTGCGAATTAACTGATCGGAAGGTCCGTGGTTCGAACCCGACCTCTGCCTCTCGAGTTCCCCCATCTAGGCCTGAAATATCTAAGAATATCATATTCCTCGGGCTTTTTTCTGGTGGCATAGACAGCGAAAGGCGCTACAGCTGAACGGTTTGAATGAAGCCATAGGGTGGAAAGAAGAGAGGATAGAGGGGATTAGGACAAGTGTATCACAAACGTTCCAAAGGGGTGAGATGGCTCGTGGTTAGAGCGCGAATTTACTGATCGGAAGTTCCGTGGTTCGAGCCCGACCTCTGCCTCCCGACTTCCCCTATCTAGGCCTGGGCAACCTGGCAGTATCCCAGCCCTCATGCTCATTTCTGGTGGCACCGAAGGTATGTTACAGGTGAACCATTTTAAATTTTTCGTGTGTCGAATTTCCAATTCGAAAGGTTCCATGAGTTTCAGATGAACCATGCAGCAGTTTCGATAGCGACTTCATCTACATTGAAAATCCGTCTCATCCTTTTTGAGAATTAGCCAAAGGACACATCGAACAAATCTCTGGGGAATTTTGCATTCGTAACCCTGTGGTAAATGCTTAACCACAAAAGTGGCCAATCAGTAATGTGATTAACTCGCACTCGGACAAAATATAGCGTCACTGATCAGGGCCAGTGCAACTCTTGAGATCTGCTCCTTTCGAAGCAGAGTATTTTCCTTAGATTTTGACGGGGAAGATTTTGAACGGCCAGTGAGCACGTGACTAGGCGATGTGAATCGCCTGACTAAAGACTGAGTGGCGTCATATCCGGTGTGAGTTAGTCACTGATTGGCCACTCCTGACCAAACAGTGCACCTAGAATTTAATATTGTTGAAAACTTTTACGTTGAATCTCTGCATTATTATTACCGAAATACACTCATTTGCAAATAAATTTGGTTTTGCGAGAGACTCACCTGGAACCCGGCTGAATCGCTCGTTTGTGATGTTTCGGGGCAAACGAATATGCTGCACCAGGGCACCTCATGGTTCAGTGGCTACGATATTTGAGATATTGCGATACGTGTACATTCGTAATGCACTACTCACAGAGTTGCCGTCGAAGAATTTTTCAGGAACCTTATGAGTCTTCGACTTCATCGAAGAATTAATAAAATATTTGGATAAACTTAGTTTTACTCACTTTTTATTTTGATAGCTTAGCAGACACACAAAACATTCACGAGTGACCTAGCTGGGCAGCAATGTATTTTCCACTCCTCATCATAATCAGGATGCGCCTGGTTTGTCATCATCGCCAACGATTCTGAAGCTGTTTTCCCGATATAATAGACCTGACCAGATTCATTGCTAAGGTCAACGAGACACGCACAGGCAGGCGCGGCTGTGATTAACTGGACAGGATAGGCGGCGATTCACCGAGTAGGAGCAATCCGCAACGCATAGCTCTCTTGTTTCTTTCGGAGGGTGCTACCGAGAGGGCGCTATAGCTGCACCATGATCGACCCCTTCATGGTCTTACTTTACTTTTATAGCCCCCAGAAAAGCATTGCTCGGGGGTCAGTAGTTGGACCACATGCGTCGAGGTCGATGAATGCTTGTTATTTGCTATTGTGAAGCCATGTTAACGAGAGCTTCATTGTTGTGAATACCAGATCATTTACATAAAGGAAACTACTCACAAGGTTGCTGAAAACTCTTCGACAGCCCACGACCGGTTTCGCCCTTCCAGTTCGGCCTCATCAGGTAGGCGCAGTCCCCGAGTTTCCGTTCCGTCAACCTTATGTTCTACTTCAAACCGAATTGCACCAAATTAGCGAATATACACTCATTTGCAAATTAATTTGGTTTTCACGAAAGACTCAAGTGAATCTCTCGTTTAAGGTATCCTACAACTGAATGTGCTGCACACAGGCTGCCTAATGTTTCAGTTGGCACGATATTCGAGATATCGCAGTATATCTTCATGAAGGAAGCTACTCACAATTTTGCTGAAAACTCTTAGACAGCTCACGACCGGTTTCGCCTTTCCAGTTCGGGCTCATCAGGTAGGCGCAGTCCCCGAGTTTCCGTCAACCTTATGATCTACTTGAACCCAAATTGGACCGTTTCCGAGGAATACACTCATTTGCAAATCAGATCATTTACTTCAACAAAGGCCACCGATCCAACACCACCGACCTAACAATTCCGCGACTTCTAGCGGTTATGGGGCCACCGATCCAACACCACCGACCTAACAGTTCTAGCGGTTATGTGCGGGGGTTGCAATTTTCCAACAAATCTCATAGCCAACACAATTCTGAAGGAATGTTGAAGTGCCAGCACCCAGCTGAATTCATCCCATACAAAATCGATAGTCAAGCCTGACCCTTATCAACCTACGGCAACCCCCACGAAACATTTTAGAGAACAGGATAGCTGTTTGTGATTGTTCAATTAGTATCACCTACTACTGTAACAGCAACGTTAGCAGCATTCAATAGAACATCCTCCGTTGAAAGAAAAATAGAGTTAGCCTTGTTGCTACTTGACGGAGTGCCTGTGTGGTTGGTTGGTTGTTGGTTAACACATGAATTGGCAGGCAATGGGGTCGCAGAGAGGCAACGGAAACGGAGTGGGACTTCCTTGAACAGTAATGTTGGAATCATGAACGAGGATACATGTGGGACGAGGTGAAGATGAACAAGGGTGAACACTCGGAGTGTCTCAGTCCGAACCAGATGGGGGATGGGTGGCTGATGCCTGTTGTGGATGTGCTTACGTGAATTTGTATATATATGTATGTATATGTATATTGGAGGTAAGTGCATCATTGTCGATATGTCTTAGAGACCAGTTGTGGGCGGGTGACTGGGTAACAATAGCGGTGTTCTTCCAATCTGTTGTGTGCACATGACTTCCAAAATCGGCTTAATCGTGTCGTTTCCGTGCTCGAGCCTGATCCCCATTTGGCACATATCCATTGGATGTAACCGTCCCGTTTTGCATCACGTGACCGTTCGCCATGGGCTTGGTTCCGTTGGTGCATTCGGCGGCTGCCGTGGCACGCTGGATGCGTTTCGCCAGGCGCTGTTTGCGCCAGTACGCTTGCACATAGAAATTTCCAAACAGCACTAGGAATACGCTGGCGTAGAAGATGATCGCAGCGGGGAACACTTTGGGATAGTTGCATGGTGTGGATCGAATAAAGATTTGGCTTTGATGGACGATGAGGAACACGAACTGGATCATTTGCGCAATGGTTAGATAGTTTTTCCACCACAGGTACTTGTAGAGTCCAGCCGCTGCCATACCGTAGTAGGTGTACATAATGACATGGATGAAACTGTTGGCCACGAGGAAGGTGTATACAATCCCACCTGAACGGAAGAAAAGAAGATGGAACATTTGAGGTAATGCGTGATAACATATCAAGGGTTCGCAATAAGCCTAGTTCGCACAGCTTCATGGCGAACATAAGCGATAGTTCAGGTGCCACGATATGGAATAGAAACCGCCTCATTTTTGAACGATAAAGAAACTATTCAAGACGGAAAAGTGAGAGCATGTGGCCTGATTGACCTGGTTCAGTCATTAGCTCCAATACAAAGTTATATGGATGACGAATACTGGTGGACATTAGCTGAAGTTGGCAAGTCTGGAAAAGAGAACAGAGCAAATCGAAAAAAAAGACGGGTGTGATTGATCCACAAAATTCTCGCAGCTGAACTAAACTATCTTTGACTTATTCTCAATTCAATGTATCCTCAATAGTTATCAGACTCTCAAAACAGGTCAGTCTGTTCATGTGATTTCTAGGGCGCGTGATCGTCACGGACAGCAACACCCAGGCGAGAACGTTGGTACTTCACTACCATTCAATCATGTCAACTTATTTGAGGACTTACAGTGGAGGAGAGAAAAGTTTGACGAGCAAGGCGTCTAGGTCTCATCCGAGATGCCTGCGGCTCCAACACTTGGTTAGACAATTGGGATAGAAACTGACAACAGGAATGCCACTGACGTTAACTAACCCCATATATTTGTTTCTGGCCAGGCAAAGGAAGGGTCATCTGAACCCCATCCTGGGAGACAAACAGCACCTAAACTATTCACG